AGTGATATAATTATACAACATATGAAATGTGGACAAAACACATCTAGTATATAATGCACAAAACAGGACGCGTGCTCTCTTTCACTCGGATGTGCACGCTCAAACCTGTGCACTCAAATCTATAAAAAGTCTTCTCTCCTGAAATTAATGTTGCCAGAAGCCCATCAACCACCAGACTTCCATGACTGACTGATGAAATAACAGAGTACCTTTCAATTGTAAAAACAAAATATGGATCCATCTTTGTTAGCATTTTCAAGCTGATTTTGGTCAGTGAATTCTCGTTATTTATTTTATTATTTAGCCTAATAGTAATTTGCATTAAGTGCCTATTCTAAATAGGTATTTATTGAATTGTTTTATGTATATCAGCAAGTGAACGAGTTGCGGCGAAGCTCAGGAAAATAATGTTTAGTTGTGTATTTGTAGTCTGTGCGTTTCTCTTCGCGAGACGCGAATAATATCTTTTGTTTAGCCTAATGAATTCAAGCACAATATCGAACGGAGGAAAAAAATATTTATCATTTTTAATTTTAATTTTAATTTAATTTTAATTAATTAATTTTAATTAGGCTGTAAAAAATGGGAATGTTAAAATATTTAAGGCACAGTTGCATGACAACCTAGCCCGTTATCATTTGCTCATGGAAACAATGATGAATAAAATGTTTTGTAGCAGCAGCAGCGGCATGTATGGTGCGTGCCGTCAGCGCAGCTGAAGAGATCTGCGTTTAAATGCACGTAATAGGCTTAAGCTTGCCGCAAAGCACCGGCAAAAGTAATTACCATAAATGTGTCAGGGGAAAAGAGGAAGGAGATATTTGAATTATTTACTAATAAATAGTGTTTTCTGTGTCGGTGTCGCAAGGATGAAGTTGTCGATCCTGACTCGCCATCTCTTCATTAGACGCGCCTTTAGAGAGAAGTGCATCTTTACGGATTATGATTATGATTATAATGAGAGTTTTTGTTTTTGATTTGTTTTATATCGTTAAGTAGTAATTTAAAGCTTTCTATAGATATATTTATCATGTCTGTGAGGCATGCATTCGCTGAGTTTTGGTTCATTTTTGTGAAACGCTCCTGTTCAAGCCGAGACGGCAGAAAGTGCATGTTTGTTTTCTTTATTTTTTAAAAGCACAACGATTTGTTGATATTGTGAGTGCACACAAATAAAAGTAGACCCTTTACAGTTACGAATAGGGATGCACCGATACCGAGTATCGGTATCGGGCCCGATACTGAGCTCCTTTACTCGTACTCGTACTCGTTAAAATGCCCCGATACCAAACGCCATACCACACATCATGTGATAAGCGCCATATTCAAACAAAGAAACACTGACAACAGAACAACAGACAGATCGGCAAGTACCAAAAATAAAAGTATCGGTATCGGGCGAGTACTGGAAAAAGTGGTATCGGTGCATCCCTAGTTACGAATGATGTATTACTCTTACCTTTATGAGCAAAAATTGCGGTGTATCCACTGAAAAAACTGCAAGTGATCGCGCTGGCTCCTCCATGTCCTGCGAAGCGCGCTTTAGCTTCCACTCTCCGCGCAAACTATTGGATATAGCGCACATTTATCTAGGTTTAACGTTTAAACATTGTTATATGCTTGAACTGTTTTATATCTATAGATTTTTTTTAGGCAAGTCGTGATGATTTGAGAAGGCAAAATTGATCAAACATAGATTCACTGTCTGCCGCTGCCCGCTTGGACATTAGTTTAAAAAACATAAACTTATATTTAACCAACAAAAAAATGCTCCAAACGTTTTTCTAAATTAACTTAATAAAAAAACGAAACGAAATATAATCACTTTGCCATTTCATACAAAACTGAACTATTTTAATAGCTGGAACTGTATTGTAAGCTGTTTTGGGAGAAGGTGGAAAAAAGACGGGCTCGGGCCGGTAATTCTGATAAGCTGTCGGACACGGCCGGGCTAGGGCCTGAGCATCTCGGGCCAGGGCCTAAATT